TCTCTTTTTGAATTACTTACGAATGAACTGGTCATTAATTTGGATCTGTGCAGGTGCTGGCATTGTGCAAACAATTGTGGATGGATGATTACCGTAATGAAGCTGTGCGAACATTGGAAGCTCTCGTTAACCACCTTGATCGTCTTCCTCCGAACCACACACCAGAAGCTGCGCGATTGTGTGCAAAAGTGGGTGCTACTGTAAAACTTTTATGTGAGCTCTCCTCGTGTGACTTTCAAAAGAAGTGTAAGCAGAAAACATTGCAGGCTTGTTTGAAACTGGGTGAATGGACAGAGATCTTGGCTGAAAGTGCTCCGACAACGAGCGGTGGCGCTTCGTTCTCCCATAATGGCAGTCCACATCGGTCGTTGTTTGGTGGGTCGCCAATTACCGACGAGCAGACAGCTACAGAGCAAGTTATTCGACATTATGCGAGATCGACTGAGTACGATAAAGATTGGCACAAGGTTTGATGATTCACTTCCATTTGGTTTCAATTATATTTTATGAAATTACTTATACTTATGTCCATCTTATGTTCTACTTATGTGATCAACTTTCCGTTACAGGCGTGGCACAAACTTGCTTCGGCATACTTCACCGCTCTGTCGCGCGACAAAGAGCTGTCACAAGCGGTGGCGGCGGCGGCTGTACGTTCACCCCATACTCGCCTCATTCACTCAACGCCTCCGCCACCAATTCCACCTCAGCCTGCGATGGGTTTGATACCACCTGTAGGTGCGCCAATACCACCACCACTTCAAGCAGCGCCCATGACACAACCCATGATGCCTGTGACTGTGAATACCGCTGGTAAGCAACTCTGAGTCTGTGATCGCTCTATCAATACAAAACACTGTGGTTTTTTCTCAAGAATAGTACTTATAGGTGTACCGCTGCTACCTGTTGGCCCACCACCTCCTCCTGGCGCTCCACCAGGACCCATGATGCAACTTATACCTCCTCAATTGAGTCCAATGCCGATTCATAATCCGTCGTTGGCCACTCCTCCACCGTCTACTGTGCCTGTGAACATTGCCTATGCAGTTTCAGCAGTGAAATGTTTCACGAGGGCTCTACAGCTGGCTCCTGGTAAGCTATTATATTTGAGTCAAGTCGTGGCAGCGATCGTTTGATGGAATTCAAAATTTGAAAACGGGATTATGGATTGCGGGTTCCTTGGATTCTAGTTAAGACAGAGTTGGTTTTGCTGAGAGGATGACCCTACCTAGAAGGTTTCTTGATCCTGTCTCTTCACCTTATTCGGATTTCAATGGTGTTTCCTATATGCTTATCTTTTGGCTTCATTGTTGAAGTGGGCGCCACAGATAAGCATATTTAGATGTTAGGATCTAACCCGTTCTTATGGTTAGATGCAGTAAGTACGATAAGTACGACAAAATGGTTGTCCACTTGGGAAAGAAGCGGTAAAAAGGCAGTAAGTAAACGTCTATGGCATATCGCGGCCAAAGATGCTATGTAGGCAACGCAAGAATTGGACTTCCATTCGAGAAATCCCACATAGATCGGCCCTGCTTTCTGATGTCCGATAATAAGATCGTGGTCGTTCAATTTTTCTTAGGAAGTATATCTGCCATTTCCTGTTAAAGCGAGAGATTACGATAAAGTGCGTATGCAGCGTGGAAGTACATGCACCATTGGAAGCAGTAGTCAGGGGCCCAAGGAAACGAAATGTTGCGTTTTTGTGGTCAAAGGTGCGCTAGTTGCAGCGTACAAGGCTTGCCATTCCTTTCTGAGCCCCGCCACGGTCTGTGCTCCGCCCCCAGCAGCAGCGCCCTTCGATTGCCAATGTGACGAGATATTCCACTTCCAGAGTGTATCCTATAACTTTTCATGGGATGCGTGATCAATCAAAGCATGATGCTTGCTGAAATGATAGAGGCTATCAGCATAACATGTGCAAACGACCTCCTAATTGGTTGCTAGCTCGTCCATTATCGGAGGTCAACGGGCAAAAGAAAGGGGTCCATTTTGCGCCTTCTTGACGGATTTCTTTGCTTTTTTCGCCACTGGGGCATTATTCAGCATCTCCACTTCCACTATGAACCCAGTCCAAACTTATCGTAATCCCTCGCTTTAAATGGTGGTACTTAAAGTCCTGACGTATTGGCTTTCATAGCTGGGATACTTTCACCCAAAAAACCACTTCTGAGCCGCAAATTTGTCTAAATAGAACGAACAAAATGAGGCCCAATCTCGCTATATCCTCTTCCAGTTAACGAAAGGATAACATATTAAACATAGAATCACTAAAACGAGAGGGTAATTGCCGCCGTTAAAATTCGAAAGGGTTGCTTTCTGTAAAGCTCTTCATTTTTTATGGCCTATGGCCAGAAATCCATTAGTCGTGAGGACCAGTCAATCTCAAAAATCCGATTTTTTTCAGTAACATCTAGGCAATTTCAATAAAATTTTACCATTTTATGCTCTCGATTGGAAGACACCCTGCGATTACTGCAGCTGTGGTTTGATTACGGCGAATATAATGAAGTATACAAACAGTTGAGTGAGAATATCAAAGGACTACCAATTGAGACGTGGCTTGAAGTGAGTGTCTTTTTTCTTTGGGTAACCCTGGATCTGATAAAATAAGTTTTTGAGGCTGTACCGCAGCTGATGGCTCGTCTTGATTCACGCGACAAGATGGCAATGCTTATAAAACAAGTAATCCTCGAAATTTCCAAGATGAAGCCACAGGTATGCTATTTAAGAGGGTTTGTGAGGTTGTTGGGGGCAGTAGGTAAATATCACGCCTTCGGAATGCTGCAAACAAGCCCATAAGGAGAATTCACGATAAGAACGAAGGTCAAAGAAGGGGAAATTGCATAGTTGGGAGACAGGCGGACCTCCTGAGGGTGCTGACCGACGCGCAATTGGCAGCGAAATTTGACCTCGGCGATCTAGCATGGCTCACTCTTGGCGCGGTTGGCGGGGTACGCCCACCGACTATCTAATCACTCGCCGCAGGTCTATACGTGGCGAGTGATTAGATAGCAGAGAGAGCGTAGTGTTG